ATCATAAAAGATGTATTAAAAAAATTATTAGAAAAGCAAATGTGCTGCTCAGTGACGCAGTGGGTAGCACGGCTGCCTTCCAGGAAGCAGGTTTGGGGTTCTATTCCCGGCCCGCTGTCTTTTTGCATGTTCTCCCTGAGCATGCGTGGGTTTTCTCCGGGTACTCCGGCTTCCTCCCACAGTCGAAAAACATGACTGTTAGGTTAATTGGCTTCTCTAAATTGAGTGTGAGTGTGTATGAATGGTTGTTTATCCTGTTTGACTGTGTTGCCCTGCGATGGACTGGGGACCTGTCCAGGTTGGATCCGCTTCTCGCCCGTAGACAGCCGGAGATAGGCACCAGCACCAATCAGGACCCCGCTTGGGATAAGTGTGAAGGAAAAGGGATGGATGTAAAGGAAATACAGCAACGTCTCTGTGACTGATCCAAACTGATCCATTAATTAGGCTATTTAGTTTAATAATGAGCAAGCAAAAAGCTTCTACACAACAAAAAACAAAACAATATTCCTTGTTGCAAATGGTCATAGATTAAAACAATCTTTAAAAATGACACCACACATAACTAAATTAGGAGAAACCCCGTATGCTCTTAGTCTGGGGAGTCTGATTATTTTATAAAATGAGACAAAGCTTCTTTTCAACAAGTTGTAGAATACTTTCAGTATTAAAATGTCCCTCAGACAAGCATTGCTTTTTGTTTCTTGGGAAAACTAACTTTAGCGGTCAGGACACAGATTGCAGCTCTTGATAACGAAATTAAAATCACATGTCTTGGATTTGTTGGCAGACATAGTTCTTGTTCAGTGTAGGTTTACTTTATTACTCGTGGGTTTTGTTTGTGGGGGAGCTGTGGTTGTATTAAACAACTTCCAGATGTGGAAATATATTCAATAAGAACAGAACTGGATGGTCTTCATTAAAGCAAAGTTGCCCTGCTGAAGTTAACTTGCTCTGCACACTTGAGCTGCAACAGCTGCAGCAGCTGCATTAATGGGAGATCATCTGATAACAGGTGCCCTCAGTGGGAAGAAGACCACCCGGCCCCACCCCGGATTCAGCGATGAAAGTCCTACTGGGGTCCACCCTAAGCTAGCCAAAAAGAACGACAGTAATGCTGTGCTTCGTGGGTGTCATCATGTTAGGATCATTAATCTTACAACTAATTGCTTAACTAAAGGCCTTATTATGCAAATAGTTTGCACTGTGGCGGATAAAACTTTCCCAGATTGTTGAAAGAGATTTTGATATGGCGACATCCGCAAGCTCATGCTAGTTAGAAGAGGGTCAGAATGCAGACTTAAACAACTGAGAAAAAAGATAGAGCTATTTTAAATATAAAACAAAACTACTCAGCATGTAGATAAGTGACTGAATAACTTTTTTAAGCTCTTAGGTACGGTAATTAACCAACTGCTTTTAAAAAAGAAGTTTAGATGCATATGGATAAACATTAGACCTGTGCTATTTCTGTTGAAACCTTTTTTTTCTTTTATTGTCATTGCATTGTCATAAGTACAGAGCAAAGAAATGAACTCCTTGCATGTAACCCATCCCCTTGGGGAGCAGTAGGCTGCCATTGTGCGGCACCCGAGGAGTGGTGTCGGGGTGAAAGGTGTTAAACCCCAGGGGTGGAAAGTAATGAATTACATTTACTCAAGTTACTGTAATTGAGTACTCTTTAAGAGTAATTTGTCATTTTCTGAGTAGTTTTTGAAATGTGTAATTTTTACTTTTACTTGAGTAAATCTTAACCTAAGTAGTTTTACTTTGCTACATTTAAAACCCCCTCACGTTACTGAGTAAAAAAAGAAAAGAAAATACTGATGGTGAAATAATTAAATGTGGCCCTGCCTTGCAATTACCCTTTGTATTGTCTCATAATCCAGTGCTGCGCTTCGGAAGATGGCAGTTGCTAATCACAACTTAGGGAGTATGGATGAGGAAAGTCCTGAAGAGGAAACATATTCTGGAGACGAAAGCCAGAAAAACCCTTGGCCATATTTGGAAGGATTATTTGTGTTCAAATGCACAAAAGGGAACAAGGTGATAATGCAGTGCAACATGTGCCTGCACAGCAAAACTGAGCTTTTGGCTTTTAAAACCTCAAAATCCAATTTACAAAAAAATGTGGCGGTAAATTAGTTATCATGGTGTTGTCTGTTGGACAGTAGGATTGAAAATTGTTTGCACTTCATGGTACAGGTTGTGACTGTCCTTGTGTTGTAAGGAAGTATGTTTCTTAGCCCAGCTGATCTTTTTCAGTGTGGATGTCCACTGAAATACGCCTTGAAATCGATTAAAACACCTTGTGCTCAATTCGATTCATGACTCATCCTTTTTTTGCATTAAATAACTTAAAGTAACAAAGTAACTTTTACTCAAATTACATTTTAAATGAAGTAATTTTGTACTTTTACTTGAGTAAATGTTGAGATGGGTAATTTTACTTCTACTCTGAGTAGAATTTAGGCAAAGTAAAGATACGTTTACTCAATTACAATTTTTTAGTACTCTTTCCACCTCTGTTGTACCCCCAGTCAGGCGCAACAGAAGGCCGCTCCCACTGAGCTGGTTCTGATGGAAGTTTCTTTCTGTTTAAAGGGAGTTTTTCCTCTCCACTATTACTGCATGCATGCTCTGTGTAAGAGATTGCTGTAGAGTCAACAGCAACGTGCAATCGAATATCTACTGTCAACACATGCTTAGTGGGAGGACTGTGTCCTGCAAGTCAATTATTTGATGTAATCAGCTGGAAAATGTTTCACCAGTGTGTCATTATGATCTGATTTAATTGTCTATGTTAAGTGCCTTAAGATGACATGTGTTATTTTGTGTTAATTTGTGTTTGTTACCTGTGGTTTGTAATGATTAACAAAAAATTTGGTATCTGCTTTGCTCTTTCTTCATCATTATGGCAGATGTGGCCTCTTTTTGTCCTCCTAATCCTAACTGCGCTATACGTATTACAGCTAATATAAACAATTTATTCATCTTAATCCCTGCTATTTTGAAATCTTATTAATTTCTTATCCTTTTAAATACAATTAGGGCAAATCCAGAAGAGGATCAACATTCCTGCAAAGTCAGAGCACCAGACAGTTTAAACCCTCTGCAGGATATGGGATCTGGGGAGCCAAGCTGTGCACAAGTTGGATTACTTGACCTATGACACCGGGGTCAATGGCCAAGTTAGGTTTCACTTGGTTATAAAACTTACCCATTGACCTAAGTTGTAGATCAGTGGCTACATTGACAACTTAGGTCAACATTGCCATTTCTTTGAAGTGACATTTAATTTAGTACGGCCTAAATATGACAATGGGAATTAGCAGACGATGCCCCTTCCTTACAGCTACCTGGCAAGGTCAGCTTTCTGGAGGCAGTCATAAAGGCTCATTCACTCTGCAAATCTTAAAGGTAAATTTCTATATTTTAATCAAATCAGATTAATCAGATGTTTGTACTTATTTTATATGTGAAATCAGACTTAATCTCAAATTTACTTGCACGTACAGACTGAGAATTCATGTGCCAGATAGCAACTGTTGATCAAAGTAATAATGGATGCCCTCATTCGAAATATCACATAGTATTGAGGTTAAGAAAAAACAGACCATAACCTTTTACAATGACCTGCTGTGGAGCAGTGACTGCTACAGTTGTAGGGGGATAGGTATGTAGGGGGGAGTGAGGACAATGATGTTTCATTCTGTCATGATCCTGCCCTTTGTGGACTTTTTGGTTCTGTTTAAGTTTCTTTTTGAGTTTTCATTTACATTTTTATTTTTGTCATTCTGTGTTTTCTTGGTTTTATGTAATTGTAGTTGTTTTCTATTTAAAGCTAAGCCCTGTATTCCCTGGTTGCTCTTAGTTTCCCCCTGGTGCCCTTTTCCTTTCCCCTTGGCTCCTTTCTAGCTGCTTCTGTCCACACCTGCTCCCAATTAACTGATTACTCCACTTTTGGTTGTGCCTGCCCTATATAATGCTCCTCTGCACTTAATCAGTGCTGGTTTCTCTTTACTACCTACTCCTCATATGTGCTTCTCCCTGTTGTCTCTTGGTTTTTTGGTTTCCTGTTTATTGTTTTTGGATTTATGTTTCTGGTACCATTTGTTTATTCATTAAGTCAGCAAAACTCATCTCCGTATTTGGGTCCCCAACCAACCTCCACCCAACCTGACACAATCGATAAAATCCTACATGACTGTTACACCGCAGACATTCTGAAAACGTATAATTGTCTTAATTTAAGAGTTGAAAATGTAATTTTAACACAGTAGTTTTGTTGGTTTTTGTTTATCCATTAAAAAATAAGTCATAATTTCTGTATTCAGGCTATATTCCATAATTTCAAAGATCTCCTGTTTCAATGCTACAAAGATATTGTCTAACTTGACTTCCAATCTAACCAAAAGTAACTAAAGAATGTTCTGAATAAAAAGGCTGAAGGTTTACAGATCTGATTAATTGCATCTTAATAAGAATTTTAATAGCTTTTCAGGGTTATAATTTACTCCTTCATAATTTCCAGAAGTACTCCTCCTCTAAAAACAATTAAAATAGACTTAAAGTTGGGAAATCTCTCATGAATCTGCAAATGGCAGAAACTCTTCCCTCTTTGTAATTGCTGCTCTATGAGCCTGTTGGTCTCAAAGCTGCTACTGGTTTATTTTTGTCCAGTTAGGGTCTATGGGAACTGGATTATTATCAGGCTTCTGTGCGTTCAAGCCACTTTAACAAATGAGGCACTTTAATAATTTCATCTAGATAAAAATCTTATGATTAAATATCATTTGCTTAAAGTAGTCCTATTAGAACAATATCCGATTCTGCTTCCATTTAACCTAATCAATGCTGAATGAAACACATAAAAAGGCTCTATATCAAAACACCGTAGCCTGAAATAAAAACATTTTCTCAGGTTCTAAGAAATGCTAGAAAGTTTTTATTGACTCCATTGCTCTGAAACTGTGTCATCTCTTTTGTGTCTGTTGCAGAAGAAAGTGGTGTCTCTTTGCCCCAGCTGATTGGAGATCCTCCAGCCGATTCAATAACCAAAGTTTCTGGTCCGGTGGGAGAGCTTGCATACCGATTCACCTCCACATCATCGACGGGCCAGCTGGCTCGAGCACATGTCCCCACTCCTTTCTACAGGGACTTCACCCTCATTTTCCACATCAGACCTTCCACTCCTGCTGCTTCCACCCTGTTCTCCATCACAGACAGCTCCCAGAAACTGATATACATCGGTGTGAAGCTCAGCGCAGTGCAGGCTGGTCGTCAGAAGGTCCAGTTCTTCTACACTGAACCTGATTCTGAGGCTTCCTACGAAGCGGCCAGTTTTGACGTCCCAAGCCTTGTGAACACGTGGAGCCTTTTTGCTCTTTCTGTGAATGATGAGTTGCTCACATTTTACCCGGAGTGTGACAGGGATCCGCAGGTGGTGAGGTTTGAGCGCTCGCCTGACCCGATGGACCTGGAGGCAGGAAGTGCGATCTTCGTGGGCCGAGCAGGACCAGCTGATCTAAATAGTTTTGAGGTATAAATAAGGCAGAGCGTTCAGTCGTTTCTCTAAAACAGGTTAAGTCTTCTTTCTTAATCAAATGCAGAAAAACTAAGTACACTCCGTTATCCAATAGACCTTGAATCACCTACATAACAATAAGATTAACTTATTAAACCTTTGTTGATCATCATGTTGCAGCAACCTTTTATACAAAGTTGCCTCAGTTCATTAAATTATGCAGACATTCCTTGATGCACAAATCAGTGAAGGCCTCCACCACAACATGGTTCAGGTCTGAACTTTAAATAGTCCATTCTCCTGGCGATGATCCAGTTTTGCCTTAGTCACATCTGTTGGACTGACTTTAGATTTATGTTGCGTAATCGCAAACAGAGGAGCTCCTGTTCAATTCTTATTACATATTTGTGTTGATATGCTGTGTGGTTTTCCATAAATAGGCTGCTGTTTGTGTTTTATTCAGAAGCAATATCTTAAAAAAAATCATGCTGCCATATTCTGTCAAAGTGAAATATGTTCCCTCTTTGCCTTACAAAAGCCATACTTTGTCTAACTTTTTTTAAGTTGCATAACTGTTTGTAGGTTTTGCACTGGTCCAACAATGGAGACAATTTACTGAAATATCCCCTTCAGTAAAGATTGACAAAGAGTAGTTCAGTCTTATTTAAAACAGCTTTCAAAAGCAACATCATTTGCTTCAGATTTTCGAGGTGCTATAGGAGCTTTGTTTTCAATATTTTAGCCTAACAGACTGTTGTTTTTATTGCTGCTGTTATAACTCTTTTCCATACTAGTTCTTGGAGTTGTCAAGTCATGATTAGAATATTCATGATTAAATGCAGATCTGTTTTATAGAACAGTTTCTTTGTATCTGTGGTACATTTTTATTTCCTAACACTCGTAGAGAAATAACAGGTTATGGTTTACAGGGATTAATCTATTCCGGCCCGAGGCCGGATTTCCAGCTCATAGCGATTGCCTGTGGGTAAAAATAAATCACTCGAAAATAAATTGATGGGAAATACAAAAAAAAAAGACAATCGGAATCACTCTTGCATTTGTCAACCAATGGTAGCAAAGGAGCGTTCTCAAACTAACATTATTAGCCAATCAAAAGAAGAAGGGGGTGGGTCTTAGGAAACCGTGTACCTCCTCCTCTCGTGTCTTCCTCAACTCGTCAGATAGATTGTGATTCAGTACTGGATATCAAAAGAAATATGATACCTGCAAGGGGTAGATATAGATGCACTTTTGCATTATTCAGGCCGTTTTTGGAATTGGATTTTCAAAAGTCAAATTTAGTCTTTAATCTCTGATCCCGTATATATATATATGTTTCTTGCCTTTGTTGAAAAAGTTCAGGCTCAGGGTATTGTTTTTTGCTTTAATCCCTGGGTTTAACTTGGTGTTGTAGAATTAGTTTTAGAAGCGTTTTGATTTTTGAATGCTTGTTTTAGAGGCTTTGTATTTTCTGACAGAAAGTTTTGACAACTAGTTGCTCCACCTATGATGACCTAGAACTGCAACACTCTCCTGTTTCTATAATATAATTTCCCTTTTTATCCTTTTACGGTTACTTGGACAAATAGTGTGTGCATTTTACCTAAATATGCTAACATTTCTAAATTTCCAGCAACGATTTCATAAACATTAACACAGTTTCAGAGATCTAGTCACTTCAACTGAATGTTAGAAACATTAGTTACATCAATGTGCACAACAGCTACTGATGGAAAATAACCGAAACAGAAATAGGAAACAATCAATCTACAGATGACTCAAATTGGTGAAATCAGAGGAACAGATTGTTTACTGACATTAGGTAATACATCACAGTTTGTGGAAGTTTGTAGGAGGATCCAAAACGCAGAGGCAGTAACAGAATTAACTGAGATAAAGCAAAAAGGAAAGGAGAATAGGACGATCTAAAAAACAATAAACACAGGGTGATAAAGGGAACAGTTGACATACAGGGACTAAAATAGATATTATACCATGGAAAACCATAATCCATTGATAAATATAACACTAACACTAGAAAGGCTAGACAATAACTGTCTAAATCACATGGAATAAACATGGAACAAACAGAAATGTAAAAAACAACAACGAAAATACCAAAAACATCAAAATGTGTTAATGTTTAAAGTGAACCCAAACCTCATCTTAGGTTTAAAATGTCCTGAAATTAAATTCTATAAATATATGATCCCTTTCTCGTTCTTGATTGCCCATTATTTTATTTATTTAGGGGGATATTGCTGAGCTGAAACTGGTGGGAGACCCTCTGGCTTTTCAGCGCTACTGTGATGAAGATGGTTACCCCAATGAAGTAAGTTACATATTTTAATTAAAGTGAACAAAAAAAAAATTTTTAACATGTGCCCTTTGTGTATCTCAGGGTTCTGGTGAAAGTGGCAGCGGTGAAGCTGATAGGAAACAGGAAGGAAACGCTGTGCTGGTTGGACCGCAGATTTTCTTACAGCTTAATTTTATATTTATCTATATATATATATATATATATATATATATATATATATATATACAAATAAAAAAAGCTTGAAGTGCTCAAAAATAACATATGTTAGTTATATAAACCTATATGATATTTTTGTTTTCCCCAGACCTTTCCACCCCGTCCGATCCCAGTGCCTCCACCTATATACCCAGAAGGAAAGGGAATCGGAATCAAAGGTTAAAATGCTTCTTTTTATATCTGAATCTAGAAAAACTGTTTTAAGTTGTTGAACAGCTTAGAAAGGTTAAGCAGAAGTGTGTACCGCAGTCATGTACATTCAAAACCTCGGCTGCTGAAATATGTACTCCAGACTGCCTGTCTGGACCTGAGCATTACATTTTGCTCCAAGGGCCAGGCTGTCAGCTTCAATCAGCAACTGGAGCACTGAATAAGTGAATCAGAGGGCATAAGGATGAAGAGATCTCATGTTTAACTTTTAGCTTAGTTCATTTTTAGGTGTGGTTGTCTAGTGTAGTTAAGATTGCCTTTGCAAGTGGAGTACAGGGGGCTATAAATGGCTTTATGATCATTTCCAGACTGATAGATGTCAGTGATATATATATTTTTTTAGTAACATTTTGGCGCCCTCTACAGGCCTCATTTAGCCATTTGTTTCAGTCATGTAACAAATGTCTTTTTCATTGTGTATGTATATATATATATATATATATATATATATATATATATATATATATATATATATATATATATATATACATAGAGAGAGAGAGAGAGAGAGAGAGAGAGAGAGAGAGAGAATTTAATTTAATTATAAATTAAATAAATTATACAATATATAAATTATTATTTATTTATTTAAATTTTCAAAAATCACAGAAAGGTCATAAAATGTTTCTCCTTTCTTGAATAAATCTATTTAATATTACTTTCACTTTTTAAACTGATTGACTATTGCAGTACATACAACTTTGTAACATTATTCTAATTGATTTAGATGAATCTGTGTACTGTGGTCAGTATTACTTCAATAAGACGTAATTAGAAAATGATCACCTTCACTCTGAATGTGACTAAAATCCACACAAAGAAAATCTTTAGAAAGTGCAGAAGAAAATGAAACAACATGGAAATCATTAGTTCTCAAAATAGATTTAATTTTACAGCCAAATTAAAGATATCGGTGGGGAAAAAAATGAAAAGTGTCAATATCAATTTGAGTTAATGATTAACTCAATCTATTTCTTTCTAATTGAAGAGAACTTTGCTAATCATTTTTGAAACCTCTATTCTGCAGAAAATGCAGTTATTTTTTTTACTGTAAACAGCGTTTGACACTTTATGTACCGACATTAAGGTATTCTAAAAAGTCTTCAAGTTTGCATAACTTTAGCATGGAAAATGTAATGGTTTACAAATTTAAAGGCAGAAACGTAACATCTAATACTAGTCAGTTTCTGCTTATTTAATAAAACAAAACAAGCAAAAAATGAACCTGATAAACTGAGAAATAAGCTTGACTTGATCAGGGTCATCAGTCTGATACGGCTTCTGAGGGGGATGTAGGTTATACGAAATTATTCACCAGATAAACTAATCAGATTCCAGAGGTGATCAATCCTAACGCTTTTACTGTTATCAGGAAAACGATTTTTACCAAGAACAGTGCCTGCTATCTACGATAAAGTATTATATGAATAATCAAGGCGTAACACCATAAAAAAAAAAGTCCTCATAAAATGAAAGTGGTAATATTATTAGACAAAAATAAAATTTTAATTAAATGAAAGTTTCAGTAGTTATCAACCAAATTCACCTAAAAATGCAAAATTCTTGTACGACGTTTGTTTGGTTTTTTTTACTTAATGTTATGACTTTATTTTCTTGATATTTTGACTAATAACAATAATAAGACTTTTTGTAAATCATAAAAAAATATAAACCTCTTAGTATTGCCTTAATACTCATTGATTAAGTGTTCTTTGTTTCCACCTAAAGGAAATAAAGTGGTTCAAACTTCATAATTTTTTATTTTAATTAATGAGAAATAGCCTTATCAGACTAAAGCTGCATAAAAAGTTAGAAAAAACTTTTGATTGATGCAATCCTCCATTCACTGCTATAAAAAATTTTCGGGTATTTTTTAGGCGCCAAAGGTGAAAAGGGTGACAGGGGAGAAAAAGGCTCCCAGGGAGACCGAGGTCCTGCGGGGCCTAAAGGAGATTCAGGCTCAGGAGTTTCAACAGAGGGAGGAGGGCATGGCGGAAAAGTAAGACAGTTTTCATTTATAGGTTAATATCCACAAGTAGCACAAATAACCTGTTTTCTTTTTTCTTTCTAGGGAGAAAAGGGCGTAAAGGTACGTGAAATGTATTCACAAGATTTAAAGTATATAAATTCAATCGATTTTTGACTTATCAGATCCTACGAAATATATTTAGAGTCTTACGACTTCATTGCTGCACATAAAAACACTATTGCAGTTCTGGAAGTGAGGCAGCTTAAAAGATATTCATCTAGAGTGGACGTCTTCAACAGGGGTCCACGACCCCTAGGGGGTCCTCAGAGGTACTGCTCGGGGGTCGCAAAAGTTATGGATGATTAGACTTTTTTTATATTCCCCGCTTCATTTTTATAGAGCAATAGAGTGACTATAGGACCAGTTTGATAAAACACAATTTCATATAATATATATAATTAGGGGGTCCCCGCTCCATCTCGCCATGAGTTTGGGGGTCCTTGGCTTGGAAAACCTTCAAGACCCCTAATCAGAGTGCGAAATACGGTTAACCCATGAGACCCCCTGAAAGCCTCGAAAGCAAAATTTAAAAGGGGTCTTAAATAGTGTCCAAAAAATTTTAAATGAAGTATTTTTTTGTCACTAATGGTCACTAAAATGTTTTTAAGCTCAACATATCCAGTATTAAAATTCAAAACCTTTATTCACAAATATGTTCTGTTTTTTGCCAAGTGGAGCCAGCCAATCCTGTTCGCGTATGCAAATTAGCCATGTGCTTTTCCGCAGTTAATAACACGGGGAACGCGGAACAGATTGTGTGAAGACAGCAGGTCTTTACTAGCCTGACGTAGTCCTACTCAATTCTAGTCAGAATATGAGTCTGATACTGCTCCATAGAGCTGTGATTATGGGGCGTGTTTCGAACGAACCAGGAAAAAAAATGCCTCTGCACTCAATTGGATAGACCTACAACCAATAAGAGCAACGGAGTGCGTGAGGTATGTTAAGCGATGCATAGTTGTTGTCAACAAAAATCAAAGCATGCAGTTGCACGCCTAGAATAAGAAGACGAGCCTTGATCGCGTTTCTCTGTTCCTCTTTTAAAATTAATTTGCTGTCGATATCTTCTAGAACAGACCTAATAGCAGAATCTACACACCTCAACTCTCCAGCGGCAGCCATTGTTGTTGTCACCCATGCGCGCTTTGGTCACATGGTTGATTACGTTACTGTTGGTCATCTGTCCATCATCGTATAAAGCCCGCCCTGACAATTTGATTGGCCCGCCAGATATTGTGCGAGCATACTCGCGCCACTACTGAGCAACGCCAGACCGAACTTCCCGACCTCAAACGTTGTGGGCGGGACTAAGTTCGGAATGGCACCCAGGCTAAACCAATCCTGCTCGCGTATGCAAATTAGCCATGTGCTTTTCCGCAGTTAACACGGGCAACACGGAACAGATTGCGTGAAGACAGCAGGTCTTCAGTCCTGTTTGTGGACCTCAACGGACCTCCTCTGGACAAATTCGACCCAGACCATTCGTCAGAAACTGGATTAAAGAAGGACATGTGCGTGCATGAAAGAGAGAGACAGACAGACAGACAGACAGTCTTTGTGAGTGTGTGTGTTTTCATTGACTGATTGTCTGTTCAGGCTCTTGCCCGCTCCACCAGATTCACAGAAAGCTTCATCCACCAAGCTTTCAGGAAGCTGAGCCCCCCTCAAAAAAAAATCACTGTCAAACTGTCTCCTGCACTACTAATAATACTATATTTATTTACTGTTCTTTTGCACTGTTACTGTTACAAATGCTATATCTTACATAATTGGTAATAATAATAATAATAATTTTTCTGCCGCCATTACCATCTGGCTTTTTGCTTTAACATAAGCATTGTTTATTTTATATTATTGTACATTTTATATTTTATTGTGAAATTGAATGTTTAAATTTTAGTATTAGGAACTGATCTTATCTGTTGTGCCTGTGCACTTTATCTGTTTCACTGTTGGTGAATGAGAAACGTCCTCTCCAGTCCTTGTATGTCTGGTGAATCTGAAGAATTGACATTAAAGCTGACTTTGACTTTGAAATGTTATAGGCCTACTGCATACTGAGAAAATTTAGATAGGTATTGTGCAAGAGTCGGGAGTTGGGGACCCCCCCAAATATTGACAGGTATTTCGTACACTGCCCCTAATCTACAGAAATGATATTAGAGGATGACAAGATAGGCATGAGACGGTGATGAGGAGTGAGGTAGGGACGGTTTATTAATCTGTGGGCTTAACTGTGAAGGAACAGGGAGAAGTTGCGTGAATAAGGAAGAATAAGTGAGTGAGGTGAATAAGGAAGAAATAAGGTATGAGGTGAAATGAAGCAGTAAAGTTGCAAAGACTAGAGAACACTGGTAAGAACCTGGAGTCTACCTTCGTTTTCAAAGCTAAGGTTCAAGGATGGAGCCGAGAGTTCAGGCAGGATTTACTGGATGATGGTGATATTAGGGCTCATTTTAAAAGAAAGAAACTGTGATACTTTCAGTGGGACCTGCAGTGATGTACAACTTAACTTGGCTCTAAAATCCTCCGTACCTGTTTACAGGGTGAGTCTGGCATTGGATACCCTGGAAGAAAGGGTGAACGTGGCGCTCAGGGGCCGCCTGGTCCTCCTGGTCCTACTGGACCGGCGGCTGAGGTTGTCCGTCTGGGTGACGGATCTGTTGTACAGCAAGTGGCTGGTCCTCCTGGACCACCAGGGCCACCAGGCCTCGATGGGGCGGAAGGTCCTCCAGGAACTGATGGAGAGCCTGTAAGATCAAAAGATCATTAACAGATTAATTAAAGACGGTTGGTTACTTAGTGACCAGTTTTATTCTTTAGGGAGATCCAGGAGAAGACGGAAAAACTGTAAGTATTTTTAAAGGACATTTCTCTGGCTTTTCTCTATAGAATAACTGTTTTTTTTATACCTGGAGCTAATTCTGTAACTTTTTAGGGTCCTCCAGGATCAAGAGGTCTTCCAGGAACACCTGGAATACCTGGTGTAAAAGGCGAAAAGGTGCAATAAATGAACACATTGCTATAAATATGACAAGTGTTTATTTATCAAAATAATTAATCGTCTCTGAATCTTCCAGGGGGAACCTGGAGAAGGCTCACCTGGACCCAGAGGCCCCCCAGGTCTCCCAGGACCTCCAGGACCTACTACTGGTGATCGTCCAGTACGTACAGGCTGTGCAGATGAACGTCTTTCAGCCATTTTAACTTGGGAATATAAAAACCTAACATGAGTGATGTCATTACAGACATTTGCTGACATGGAGGGATCAGGATTCCCAGACTTCCGGGTATGTGTTCAGCATAAAGAAAGGAATTCAACAGAAGTGTAAAATGTAATCCGTGATATGTTCCTTGCAGGTTGCACGTGGTCCCCCCGGCCCCCCAGGTCCCCCTGGCCTTCCTGGCATCCCTGGTACTTCAGTGGCCCTCGGACCAGACGGTCCGATAGCCTCTGGGCCTCCTGGACCTCCTGGACTTCCTGGACTTCCTGGACAAGATGGAATGCCTGGTCTCCCTGTGAGATTTCTATCTTTTACATTTGGACGATCCTGTGTTTAATTACATTGCATAAATCTAGATTTCTTTTGTGGGTCATTTTAGGGGCCCCCTGGTCCTCCTGGTAGACCTGGACCCAGAGGAGAAAAGGTAAAACTGATTGTGACTCAGATTTAGGCTGAAGGTTCTGACTATTTATATCAATGCACTGCAAAAAAAAGTCTAGAAATAAGTAGAAAAATATTCTTAAATTAGGGTTTTTTTTACCTAACCTGACTCCGCCAGATGGATTTGCTCCGCATATCCATCTGGAAACCTTCCGTTGAAGTAATTTTGGGAAGGGGCGAAAATACTGGTTAGCTGATTGGCCTATGTTGGTGATAGACGGGCCAAATAAACCAATCAGATCAACGAAGCATATGACGTACTAACAGAGCGACGACGAAGAGGAGCCAATTGATAGATCAAACTCTTGCCGAAACCAGTCAGGAGAAGAGCAAAAACATCTTTTCCTCTGAGAAAAGCCTCCAGAGCAGTGTTTTACTCTTCTTTCAGTGAAGAAATACTCTGTAATTCCGATAAAACTTGCTCGATAGCCACTCTAGAGCTAGTTTCATCGGCTGAAGCCGCCATGTTCTTTAGACTGAACTGTTGCGCTTCTTGTTGCGTCACACCTCAACCCGCCTCAAAGCCAACGCTGATTGGACGTTCGTTTGGTGAACGGCTCCAAATTTTGAAAGCTCGCAAGATCAGGATGGTCTCACGAGGCTAGTTTTTACCCTTAATTTAAGTAGGTAAATAAGATGAATGGAATGAGCTGTTTTACTCTCAAAATAAGATAATTAGCTAGTATGCGCTTGAAATAAGAATTTTTGTTTGTCTTGTTCCAAACAAGACAAACTGCACTTATTTTAAGAAAAAACGACTTATTTAGATTTTAATTGTTTGCAGTATGCTACATTCTGTCTAATTGAAATCTGTCTGGAAATTAAAATTTTACGTATTTTAATGATCTTGTCCAGCCAGACTGACTGAAGCCGTGTGAATTCAACACACAGCTCATCAGTCTGGTAAGGCTCAGACTCTCTGGTCTAAAACTGACTAGACCAACCACTTGTGCTGCCTCTATCTCTTTACAGTGGAAAAAGGATGTAAAAATAAGTAAATATTTCTTAAATTAAGTGCATTTACCCTTAATTTGAATAGGTAAATGAGATAGTTTGCCAATGGAATGAATATTTTTACTCTTAAAATAAGATAATTAGATAATATGCACTTGAAATACAACAATACAATTGTGTTTTCTTGTTTTACGTGTAAATTGTCTTGTTCCATTGGCAGGGTTTATCAATAACCTCCTCAATTCAAGAACAAATGCCCTTATTTTAAGAAAAAAATACTTATCTAGATTTCCATTTTTTGCAGTGTAAAACCTCAATAACAAGCTGCTTTATAGTTTTTCTTTAAAAAAAAAATGAAAAAGTAATTTTTGTGCTTCATATCTGTAGTTATCTGATTGGTTCGATCCTCTTTCTGCTGAATCTCCTGTTCAGACAGATGTTTTGTGTAATGGGCATACAATGGTCTGCATGTAAAGACTATAACTCCATAAGACACTGTCTGATCAAACACAAAATAAAACTTTTATCGATCTTCCATGCATGTAGGGATTGGTCTTTGATGCTCTGGTTTGACAAGTCAAGGCTGGGATACGTGTACATAGACTGAAAACCTGTTCTCCAACTAAAACCTGCTTTTAGTTCCTCTTTTTTTGTTATTTCTCCTAAAATAAATGTAAATAAAATAACTATTTTCACTCTTTTAACAATTAGAGCTTCTGATTTTGAATTAATTATCCAATCTGGTTAATAAAGCCACTTTCAACGTAGACATTTCCCCAGATTTGGCTATCAATAACTTCTTGTTTTATTTTCTAGGGGGATAGTGGTGACCTTGGCCTTCCGGGACCAGCTGGAGAAAAGGTCAGTGAGAGTACTTAAAATTATAGCCAACATAAACATTAAATTATTTTAAAATAAAAGAAACTGTTCATAGAAACCATACACATTCTCTGTTGCTTCCTTCTAGCAGGAGACAGAGGACTCCAATCCTTTCAATTACCTGTTCTCTTTCTTTGCTCCATCCTCTACGGTGTGTAATAGGGTAGCAGGTACTGGGGCTGGGTTTCTGCTTTGCTGATTTACTCTGCTTTCTAACATTTCCCATTTCCCTAAAGATAACGTTTAAAGCTATTTTTTACTTCATCCTGGTTAATCTTAATGTTAGAAAGTCTGCTTCTACTGTCTAAAAGCGTATCCTGGCAACTTTTCCACCTAGATGAATGTTCCTTTTGCTAGATTACTATTTCCCTCTAATCCTCTCCTTTAAGTAAATATATATTCTCCGCTAATTGCATTATTTTTTAAGACACAGAAGCATTTAATCCTTTTGACTCTTAACTCAGGGTTCTCAGGGTGACCCAGGAAGGACCGGCACACCTGGGCAGAGCGGTTTGGCAGGTCTTCCAGGTCCCATGGGACCAGTCGGGCCTCCGGGGCCTCCTGGACCACCAGGTCCCCCATACCTTGCTGGCAGTGTAAGTAAAGGCTTTCAGATGCAATGTAACAGATTAAACATTGGGATTAAATCATCTGAAAAAACCTAGAAGGAAGATAATGTTTAAAATCTGAACCATTTCCTTTTCTTATGATTTTAATTTAGTATTATATTGTACTGATGAGTGAAGAAGTTCAAATACCTCCAAAAGAACAGGCTTTCTGACTCACATTGTGTCCGTACAGGGGAACCAAAATGAGGTGCTGAACGGCTTGCCTGGCCTAAGAGGTCCACCAGGACCGCAGGTAACCATCTAGGACATATTTGGCCCTCTGTCCATCTTATTCAAGCCTTCTCTGTCTCACCTACAATCCATCATGTCTTCCAGGGTCCACCTGGTATAGCTGGTCTACCTGTAAGTAATGCTAATATATCCTGTAGTCCAATTCATTCTGCTACTCTTTATAGATGGACATTAAACATTTGAAAGGAAGGCAGATTTTGGATGGAATAACTAAAACATAAAGAGCTTTTACTTTCCTAGAAAGATTACTTTCTGGAACTTACTTCTGTTTTCTTTAGGGACCAAACACTTCAGTCCAGAACCATTAGATTATATCTGGAACTTGCATCACTGTGGAATAAATTAAACTGTTCATCAAATGCTTATTTCAGACCAAACCAATAGAACCAGAGTAATTATTAATATCAGTTTTTAAATTATGATGCCAATATGAACTATTAATGGGTTGGTGACACAATTTTGACATTTTCTAGTATTTTTTTGTAGAGCAAAAGTTAATACCGATGATCAATGTAGTAATTTCATAAAATTGTTTTCTTCAAAATAAATCTTTGCCGTTCAGAGGATTTATTTGAAAATCATGTTAATTGGAAGTATTATATACTAATTTATATACCAATAACTGGTTATACTATTTGTAGCAGAGGCATAGCAAGCTGTGTTTTCTAGCAGTGCTGCTGCGGCCATATTAACCGTCATCGTCCAACTCAGAGTCTCTGTATGATAAAAGTTCACTCTAGATGGTTCTGATCTGTAATCAATGATGCCTCCATATCCATTATAGAATGTAGAGCTAGCTCCTAAATGGTTTTCTCTCTGACCTCAGCACACATAGATGGACTGTAACTAGCTGTTAATCAGTGTGCTGCTGTGGAGCTACTGAATTTAGGATATTTGTGTTAATAATTAGTATGTTTGATTCCTAAAAACTGAGAACCAACTGGTATGTCGTGCTCAATGATTTAATTCAAGATTACATGACATTGATATTGCATTATTGCATAATCAACACTTCAATCATTTGATAATTTATTTAAAGACATGTTTTTGCATATACCATATTTCCCTCATATTGTGCTGGCCTATCTAAAAGGTTTATTTCCTAGAATATAAAGCTTACCTCTGAGATTTCTTGCTTTTGAAAACAGACAGGTTTCACATATATTACTTTATCAAATTTAAAGGATTTTTTACAGAGATTATTAATTCGAACGTTCAGATAACTGTGTTTTTTATTTGTACCTGAATGACAGATCAACTACCTTAGAGACACTATCCATTAGAGACACTATCCATTAAAATGATCCCCTTTTTGTTAGTTTTTTATCAGTTGTCTAATTTGAAAAAAGTAGCTTATTTACTTTTGTAGATTTTTTTTTCTTTCTTTTTTTTATATTGCAACCATCATATTCAAATCCGATTTTATGTTATTAAATTTCTGGTAAATTCTTTACAAACTAAAACGTGCACAAATGCCAATAACTTTCCTGCTTAAAACTGTAAAAACAATGACAAAGTTCAACAAATAAAAAAGCAGCCCCGCAAGAATTTAAATAGTGATTGATTTGTGCAATAAGCAAAAACAAAACCCAATTATCTATACTGTTTAAAGCTAAAAAATCATTTACATGATGGAATTGTTTTGTCTTTTTATGTTAATGGTTATCGACTCTGAAATTATTCCTGCAGCCAAGCCCTTTAGACTTTAGAATAGATATGCTATCTTTATTTATCAACCATAAATTATATTTAAAATGTTCAATTATGGTTTGTAGGGTAAGCCAGGTTTTCCAGGGAACAATGGAGCCAAAGGAGCAGAAGGACCACGAGGAGCTCCTGGGATTCCAGGCACTGATGGATACCCTGGAAGACCAGTACACAGCTTTTTTTAATGATTATTTCAAATTATATAATTATTACTTTATATTTTACGAGACTAATCACTACTTATGTTTATTTTGTAAGGGTGACAAGGGGGACAGAGGAGAGAAGGGCGAGATGGTGAGTTTCGTTCATTTCTTGAGATACGACAGCTGTGGTAACTATGGACTGATTGGTTCAAACATATTCAGAAGATCACTGTTTAGCAAAATGACTCTGTACTTCACCTAAACCATTAGTTTGAACTGTATGCCTATTATTTTCTGCTTTTGTAGCTGGATCCAAATTACCTATGAACACCAGTGCCTCAATTATTGTTGTTTTTAAAAAAAAAGACCCCACAATTTTAGTAAAGATGTTTAGAAAAAGACAAAAAGGTGTCCCGCAGGGCTCCACATTCGAACGTCTTTTGTTTTAATCTTTGTTTTTGTTAAAGTATATGGCCAAACATTCTTCTTTTACGTAGTTTGTCTGAATACAATTGCTGAATGTACAAACCTATTTTACCATTTTGAATAAAACAACAATACTGCTGATAAAATTTAGGGGCCACCTAAGGTAAATCATCTTAGCTGTTTTTCAAAAAGCTCTTTTTATTCCTAACGCAGGGTCTCCCAGGTCGAGACGGTGGACCGCCTGGACCACCTGGACCTCCAGGACCACCAGGAGAAATTATATACCAGCCATCAAGAGATGTGAGTCAGAGCTCTAACAAACAATATGCATGGATGTGTGTATCCACATGGGAAATCAATTAACCCTTCAACATTTGAGTGCTTTTCTATTTTTCACCGATTTAATCAAGCCCTCTTTCCTTGATCTTCACTGCACGGTCACTGCCTGCTTCACTGCCTGTTACTAACTGACCTAACTTTGTCTTGATGTAGTTTAACGAGGTTTATTGGAACGATTTGGGACAGGTGAGTTGATGCTCCCCCAGCTTCCTTAACTAAACTAAAACTCACTGACTCTTAACTCACTTCGCCAAGCAGGAACACGTTTTATTCTTTGTTTAACGAGCTGTTTTATCCTTCTTCTTTAGAGAGAATCAGGGCAGGTTGGGTTTCCAGTAGGTATCAATCCATCTACAATGTTGCTTTAATGAGAGAAGAATTGAATTTAAAGATCTAAAGTTGATATTTATTTTTCTTTAGGGACCAATTGGACCAAAAGGAGACAAAGGGGATGCTGGTGCTCCAGGATATGCTTCTAAGGTAAAACAAGTTCTAGTAGCGAGTATTATGTCAGGATAAATCTGAAATCGTGATTCACTATTCTGTAACCAATATGGGTGTTTATATTCCCTACACACTGGATGATTTCTCCACTCTCTGGAGGGTCTTGGTGAGGTCTTCAGTGATGCTCTAAGAGTACAGTGAGTTTCAAGAGATTTTCATGAATGCACAAATTTTCTGCAGTGGAACATCAGGGTTGAACGCCTTTCTTGGGAGGTCTTCCACACAAGACCAGATTTGTGGGCCGATTACGTCATAGTGCAGTGCCGAGGTCTAATTGGATTGCAAGTCTCCTCGTTATGCGGCTGACAAATGCGTCCCTCTTTTTGCCCATTTTGATGAGGGGTCCAGTGTATCTTAAGTAGCCTTGGATATCCAGTGATTCATTGCAAGTCCAATGAATCACTGATTTGTGTGTCAACTGACACAGTTACTAGGCTAAAGAGAGTATGGCGGTAAAAGCCACGGAAGGTTGGTCTCGTTTTAATTCATAGCCAAAACTCTTCCAGTCTCCTTTTTTTCATGATCATCGAAGGATCCAGTCCATTCAAACCGGGTCCTTGGAGAATGCAGCCTTTAAAATCAAACACACCCATTATCTCTCAGCTGCCTCAGGCCTACTCGCAAATGAACTGAAGGAGATTTCTAGCTTAAGGGAAATCCAGGCGTCTGCTGAGCAGGATTACTTGAATAGTTATTAGCATATTTAAAGGAATTTATTACCAGATGTGTTCCTAATAACAAGTATCAGTTAATTAAAAGTTGGTAACAATCCAGATCAATCCGGTCTGCACTGTCTGAATATTTTCCTAGTTTCTTATCCCACTGATGCCACCATCATAAATGACAAATATATGCACCCTTCATCTCCTGTAAACAGTCAAATTCAGTTCTCATTCATTCATCTTCTCCACCCATCAGATGAGAAAACTGGCAGAAAGGATGTGGTGAAGGCTCTTCCATTAAAATGCTAATAATTAGACCAAACATGATAAAATATGATACTAAGACAATGCCAGCATCATTGTTAGCTATATCAAGAAGGAGGTTGGTATAATCAGTTATAGTCCAACCACTCTTGGAGAGGGAAGGATTGTTTTGTTTTTATTTTTTATCTTAATTGGTTTTCAAAACACTCACTCAAGTAGTTCGCAGACGAGTGTGTAGCGGTCGGGATGAGGATCAGTGCCTCCAAATCCGAGACCATGGTCTTGAGCCGGAAAAGGGTAGACTGCCTTCTCGGGGTTGGGGAGGATGTACTGCCCCTAGTGGAGGAGTTTAAGTATCTTGGGGTCTTGTTCGCAAATGAGGGGAAGATGGAGCGGGAGATCGATAGGTGTATTAGTTGTGTCGTCTGCTGTGAAGCGTGCACTGTACCGGTCTGTTGTGGTGAAGAAAGAGCTGAGCCAAAAAGCAAAGCTCTCAATTTACCAGTCGATCTACGTTCCTACCCTCATTAATTGTCATGAGCTTAAGGTCATGACCGAAAGAACGAGATCCTGGATACAAGCGGCTGAAATGAGTTTTCTCCGTAGTGTGTCTGGACTCTCCCTTACAGATAACGTTAGGAACTCAGTCACCCGGGGGGGACTCAGAGTAGAGCCGCTGCTCCTCCACATTGAGAGGAGCCAGTTGAGGTGGCTCAGGCATCTGGTTAGGATGCCTCCTGGACGTCTCCCTGGTGGGCTGTTCCATGCGAGTCCCACCGGGAGGAGGCTAAGGGGGAGACCCAGGATGCGCTGGAGGATCTATGTTTCTCGGGTGGCCTGGGAGCGCCTTGGGATTCCCCCTAAGGAGCTTGCCCAAGTGCCTTGGGAGAGGGACGTCTGGGCCTCCCTACTGAAGCTGCTACCCCCGCAACCCGACCCCGGATAAGCGGAAGAAGATGGATGGATGGATGGTTTTCAAAACATAAGCAGGTGTCATTTTTTTTCCTTTATCTTACAGGGGGAGAAGGGAGAACCCGGCCTCATCGTGGGGTCTGATGGGACACCTTTGTATCCAGGCCTCACAGGATATCCGGTACAGTGATTATATAAACACAAGTTCAAACTTATCTATGGATTTTGCTCTACATACTTAGTTACTTTGAATGAATAAAATGACATTATTCTACTTCACAGGGGGAACGAGGATTTCCTGGTCCAGAGGGGCCTCCAGTATGTACTGATTTATTCATTTTTCATCCGACTGACTAAATAATAGCATTTTATTTGTTTAACTATGAAAATATTTCCCCAGGGTCCGCAGGGTCCAGCTGGACCTAAGGGAGAGATTGGTTTCCCTGGGCGACCAGTATGTTTTCCTTTATAAGAAAAGCTTCAAAAAAATCTTAAATGAAGGGAAACAAAGGTGGCTAAAAAACTACAATATTTCAGGGTCGGCCGGGATTAAACGGGGTCAAAGGAGAGAAGGGAGAATCTAGCAGCGGGTCTGGATATGGTTACCCTGTAAGTGCTTCGGAAATTTTTTCTGTCTCAAGTGATTTATTAAACAATAATCATTGTTTCTTGCTTTTTCTCAGGGTGTTCCAGGTCCTCCAGGACCCCCTGGACCTCCTGGACCTCCTGGAGTGAGTCAAGTCAGGACATCTGATTTTCTTACAGAATAAATAATGAGGAATAATGAGTTTAATTCCCTCTATTTCCCCTTGTGTTTTTGTTATTTTTTTTCATAGGGGTATGATGAGTACAACAGGAATTACGCAGGTGAGGTTACCACACAGATCAGACATTTGCAAAGTATTTTCCTCATGAAGGAAATTTACTTCTGTCTAATTTTCTGTGCTCTTTCTTACAGTTAAAGGAGATAAAGGTGATCCTGGACCACCAGGAATACTTGAAATTCAAGGTAGCCTTGTTTAATTGATATATATATGGAATAAAAGCCACAGGGGACACATGATAGCGGTGTTTAAACAAGCTTTTCATGAATGTTTTTATTCAGGTCTGGGAGAAGGCTTTGACTTTTATAATTTAAAGGTAAAGTTTTCCCCTCTTACTATATCATTTGAACTGCAATAAAGATTAAATCTGTTTTGTTTTTATTGAAAACTGCTTTGCTGTCATCCAGAGAGAGCTGAAAGGTGACATGGGCTTAAAAGGAGAAAAAGGAGAACCAGGAGGAGGATATTATGACCCCCGCTATGAAGGAGGAGCAGTTGGTCCACCAGGAGCACCCGGACCTCAAGTAAGACGCTGCACTGGAACCAAAACGGTCCTCATCAGACACTGATTTTATCTTCACGTAATTTACTTACACATTAATGAATGATTCTCAACTCACCGAATTTTGGTTGTGATAGGAACAGCTTACATGTTCTCTGCCTTAGGGAACCCAATATTAAAGTATAGGGATGTATAATAAACCTGCATAAACACTGGTGTTGAATTTTGTCACTTTTAAAAATATTGGTTTCCCAATATATATATATGTATATATATATATGTATATATATACATATATATATATATATATATATATATATATATATATATATATATATATATATATATATATATATATATATATATATGTATATATGTATATATGTATATATGTATATATGTATATATGTATATATGTATATATATACATATATATATATATATATATATATATATATATATAGATATATATATATAGATATATATATATAGATATATATGTATATAGATATATATAAAAAAACTGTAACTGGAGCGTGTAACAAAAGTAATTTCCCAAAAGAAATTTCCCTCTGGGATTATTAAAGTATTTCTGATTCTGATTCTGTTGGAGGAAGCCGGAGTACCCGGAGAGAACCCAAGCATGCACAGGGAGCACATAAAAACTCCATGCAGAAAGACCCTGGGCATGGAATTAAATCCACTAACCCACTGTTTAGCCTAAATACCTCCTTGTTGTGATGTGACTAAGTATTTCAGGGGGGCAGGGGGTCGACCATGTGGTATTATGGGGGTATGTGAAAGTGAAGCTAATGAGGGGTGAAGCAGAGAAACAATCTCAGTGTGAACGTGGTACTGAACATATTTTAGGTAAACATCGATAATAGAAGCAATACTAACTTCAATATAAGCCTTAATTTTAGGTGCATCCCTCCCTACTGAGTCACTTTTTGAAGTTCAGGCTCTGATAAAATATATTGACAGTCTAGAAATGTTGAAGATGTGCCAAGTTTGTTAAAAATATTCAAACTTTTAAGTAGGGCTGGACAATTATTGCATTTGCAATATAATTGTGATTAAGAAAATGAATTGATGATTTTTAATCGCACTGTATTTAACAAGAGTAGTTCTTCATCTGGCCCTTTAGGTGGTGGTTAAATGGTTTAAGTGGGTTTGTTGCCACGCAGAAAGGTAGAGATAGTTGCTGCTAGCACACAGATCCATGCATAAAAGGAAAAGGAAACACTTTTTCACATAAGAAAGTCCTGAAACAATGGACCGACCACCTGGGTGAAACATTTACAAGCTTTGGGTTGGTGCAAAGGAAAATCGAAATAAAATCGCATTGCAATACTTTAAGGCCTACTTTTAAGGATTGGAGAGATGTCCGCATCAAAATCCTCCTCTGCAGCATTTTGAATTTTCTATAGCTACATATTTAACTTCATGTAAAGTCGAAGGAGGGTGTTTTGTGAACACATTAAAGCCTGGTTTATGCTTTTTATATTACATAATGTAAGTATAAATGCAGCCTCAGCTCAGGCTGCTTTTTCAGTGCATCATACCTAAGAAGATATATAACTAAAAACTCTGATGGTTCCATGTGGAAGAGTCATAGCTCCTTATGATCAACAGATTATGAAGAACTCTTGGAAAGAATTAACTGTTATTCCTGGATGACACTTTTAGAATGTCTCTTTCTCTAATTAATTTAAATACACTGACATTTAAAATAAATATATTAACACTGATTTTAGGAAGATAATAGATTTCTACGTTTAACTATCTGGATGAGAGATCCCAGTTTCTCACTCCTAGGATGATCTAAGCTTTCTTTTTGACCAGGGCCCAAGAGGAGAATCAATTGTTGGTCCACCAGGCCCTCAGGGGCCTCCTGGACCACCAGGAAGAGGCTATGATGGTCAACCTGGACAACCAGGGCCACCAGGACCTCCTGGACCATACTTGTCTGGACCCTATGGGGGAACACAGAGTGAGTCCCATTACAAAACACCAGTATTGTTAAAGAAGTCTTGAGTTATAATTTCAACTCTGAAAATGCAAAATATTGTCTCCAATACAACTTAAAGAAGATAAATAATGGTTCTTTTTTATTTTATTTACACTTGTTGGAATTTTCAAGCCTAGTCTAAAGAATAAAATTGAGAATCTACAGGGGATAGAAGTTAACTATGTATTATTTTTCTTATATGTCCCTTATAGGAGACTCTTAAACATATATTGAACCAGGTGAAGCTAAACCTGCACCACTATGGTACTTCTGGATAAAGCACATAGATGAGGAATGTATAATACTACATTTCTGGGTTTTGTATAAATTCAGTTTAGGCTTACTGCTGCTCAGAGCAGCTTGCTCTTTCCGCTAATAGCAAGTTTTTATTACCTCTATTTTCCCATCAAGGATTATTCGATTGCTTGATGGAGCGATGATTATTCTAATACTCAATTAATCATTTCAGCCCTTAAATTTTTTTTAGGAACATTGGGAGTGGGCATTTAATGCAAATCTACCATTACAGTTTTTTGGTTTTTTTTTTTAGCTTTTTTTGCAGCATAAAAAAAATATCATAAACTCTACATGAAGATGTTGGTAAAGCTCAATGAACTAAAAGCAATGCTATGGTCCTTTCTCCTATTTTTTTCTGTCAATTGAGTAAGAGAAGCAATAAATACATACATTTAAATTGAAAAAAATAATTAAGCAGCAAAGCAGTTTTATTGATATAAAACTATTACAGTTTGAACAGTATATTAGTCTTTAGCAATGCAATGCAGTCAATTTAGACTATAAATAGTGAGGTCATTAGTTTCAGCTAACGATTAGCCAATATGTATCAACAAAACATGTATAAAATCAGTCAAAAACACTAAATGACACTCTGAAATGTATTTATTTTAAATTGCCTGACATTAGCTTACCTGTATGACGTATAGTCTACTAATTGTAATATTAGTGACACCTGTAACAATGGCTAGGTGACTTCATAGAGCGAGCGCGCCCTCTACTGGCATGTCTAAGAACTGAAACTTCTTTATTGTGTTTAATTAGTGCATTACTACACCTAGCTGTGTAAAGTGGACAGTGATTCACATAGGAATTAGAACAGAACCTTTCATTAATGTGCTTTTACTCAGACAATAAGTTTTGGCTTTCTTAGTTTTACATATTTATTTTTTAGCTTTACTGTGATTCATTTAAGGTTAGAAACAGACCTGTTTAACCTGCTGCAATGATTTCATCCCTCTGATCTACAGCTGTCATCATTTTTAAACTTTTAGTTTTCATATCCACATTTAGCACTATAGAAATATCTGACTTATATTTATAGTTATGCTTTTTCATGTACTACAAAACAGGGGACAGCACCGTAATAAAAACTTTGCATGTTACACCTGCAGGAGTGGAATTTTGAAATGTATAAGGACTCTCTGTTGTAGACCACCTGTTATGAAGATTGCTTATTTTTATCTAACTAAGCTTTAGGGGGGAAAAAAGGAAACTTTAATTTATTTAAAAAAGGAAATCTTATTGATTTGTCAGAAAATTGTGTTAAAGGTTAATACTGCTTTTTTTTTTTATTATTATAGCTATAAGTATTCCTGGACCCCCAGGACCTCCTGGAGCTCCAGGTCTTCCAGGAATCTCCTCGGGGGTGAGTTTTTTTAGGTTTAAATTTTTCTGATTAGCTTACAGATTTTGTACGCAAATTGCATTTTCAAATAAAAGTGAATATAGAATTTATTAGGCTACACAAATTCACTTCATATCCGCCACAGTTGGAAGTTTCCTTACATATTGTTTTTAGTATTTAATTAATTCATTACAATATTTAGTTTGTTTTTTGTTTAATTTATCAAGAAATATTAACCAGCACTTCTGCTGTTTCATAATTTGTATTTTATATATGTGCTAACTTTGTAGTAAAATTACACATCCAGGCCCTTTAAAAGCATGAAACTCAGCTTGTAGGTTCAACCATCTAGGATAGTTGTTGAACAGCAACTATCTAGTTAATCTTATGAATAATTCTGAAGGTCCTGAAGCTGCTTCTGTATCTATTAGCCTACGATATCCAACAAATCAAAAGCAAAACAAGAATTTGTATGTTTTTATAGGTGATGGTGTTCGGGTCTTATGACACCATGGCGGCCACAGCTAGAAGTCAGCCTGAAGGATCTCTGGTGTACGTTGTGGACCAAACTGATCTCTACGTAAGAGTCCGAGATGGAGTCCGACAAGTTCAGGTAAAACTTTCCGTGTATTGATGCAAACTTTTCTATTAAGACAATAAACCCTTTATGAATATTAATTTCTGTGCTTTAATGTATTTAGCTTGGGAATTACATTCCTTTACCAAGCCAATATGTAAGTATAGTTTCATGTTTGACATGTTTTTAAAGTACAAAGTTCTTCCTGTTCTAACCATTAAACCCCACTAATTATTATTTTTTTAGGATGTGGCAGCTGAAGAGTCGCCACGCATCATCCAGTTGCCATCGCAGTCCAAAGTCGTTTCGGATCCCCGATATCCAGACACACGATACCAGACAGACCTGCTTTACCCAGAGCCCTCAAATCCCAGATATCCAAGTTATACGGATCGCTTCAACCAACCAGATGGTCGCGATTTAGACCCTCGCTACACAGTTACCCGTCCTCAGAGACCCCCGCCTCCTGTCCCCCAAGCTCCCATCCACAGACACACTTCAGGACCAGCGGTAAGACAAGATCTTCCTCACTATATTATATATATATAAATGGTCATCTGTCAACCAAATTTTTTCGGTCATAGCATCTTGATTCATATGTAGCAGCTAATATACGCAATGGTTGAAATAAGAAATAAGAATAATTTCCTTTCCCATTGAGTTCCGTCCTAGTGTTCACGGGGATGGGTGTCTGTGTCTTTGGCAGCCGTAGAGCTAACAGAACTGGCAGCGTTGCGAGGCAAGGGCTCAAACATGTACGGCTGTAAGCCTTCTACACCAAACCAAGCTTCTGGCGCCCTGGCGTCTTCTTCCACAACATCTTCGTCCCCACGTTCTATCCTCTAAATAAAAAATGTATGACGAAGGAGACTCATCCACGACCTGCGACACAAAACTATCCTCCTTTTGCATGTTTCCGCTGTCCATAGCGTTCCTTGACAGTGTCGTTGCTAAGTGCTACTTGGTCCCAATGTAATTTCCCATTGGGAACCTACCAGTACTAAGTTGCTAACTGGTTAGCAAGATGCTTCTGAGACACCGGCCACAGCCAAACTTCCTTGCAAATCTTCCGCCACACAGATCCCGCCCCCTTGATAAACGACCAATCAGATTCACTTCATTCACTCGTGTAAAGTCGGCGCACCACTCGGGAGAACCCGAAAATGCAATGGTTGGAACAGCAGCTTCCCTACGACTTTAATCAAAACTATTTTATTCTATGTCCTGTTTCAAGTGGATTCTCCTCCCAAGTCTAACTTCTGAAACGCTTTTTAGAACTGAGCTGACCTGTCCTGTATAAAGCTACCTTCATATCAACTCTGATTAAGTTCCCTATCACTCCTTAGAAAAGAGTCCATACAGCATTCCTCTGTAACCATGGTTTACCATGGGTCCAGAAATGTCAGTTTTGGTCTTATCCAAACAGAGCGTTTACTGTGGACCCTACATGTTTTTGTCATACTTCAAATAAGATTTTAATAACTTTTTTGAAGTAGGATTTTCTCCTTGTCAATCTTTTTTTATTTAATGGTTTCCATGAAACCAATAGAATGAACAAGACTTTTTCCCTCAGTGTCGTTTCCTTAAAGGTATACTATGCAACCGGTGTTGATTTTCCAGCGAGGCTCCCCCCAGAGGGCGAAAGTAAAAGTGCACTGTCGTAAATATGCTCAGCTGTTCTCCTGGTTTCTCCGTCAAGCCAGGCGCGGTTGTTTTGAGCTTAGCAGACAGGCGAACGCAACGAATCACCATGTCTATTGCAGTAATTGACTATTTTGTTCCAATTTTCGAGTTTGAAAATTCTCGCTGGTTCCGCCATGATAACTGCACAAATATTGCCACTGCGCTAGCAACGAGCATGCCTTTCACTGGGGGCGTGCAGCAGGTTTCGCCCTAAAGCAAGACCGACTCTCGCGATGCACGAGACTTCTTAGCCTGTGGGTGCGGGCCGAGGGCTCCTGCAATTGCAAGTACGGTATTTCCCCTACAGACCACCAGGACGGCCGAGAAAACCTTCGTTTGACCTGAAATGACTCATTTAATCATCCAAAAACGTTATGGAACACATTAATTAACTGAAAAATGTTGCATAGTAAAGCCAGTCAAAATCCTTGAAATCTTTTGGATGGGGCAAACAAGTAGAAGCAGCCCAAACACCAGGTCAACTTATGTGAGTGTTCATTGAGGTCTTTTGTTGTCTTCCACAGCTCCACCTGATTGCGTTGAACAGCCCTCAGACAGGCGGCATGCGTGGCATCTCTGGAGCAGATTTCCTGTGCTTCAGCCAGGCCCAGAAGTTGGGGATGAAGGGAACGTTCCGAGCTTTCCTTTCCTCCAAATTGGAAGATCTCAACAGCATTGTTTACAACTTCAACAGGGAAAACGTGCCAATAGTCAATCTGAAGGTGCTTTAGAGCAATCATTTTAATGGCATGAAGTCCTAATGTTTAAACAGCTAACTGTGATGCATGTTTGTTTGCAGGATGAGGTTTTGTTCGACAGCTGGAGCAGCATTTTCAACAATGGCAGAATGAAGGACAACGTTTCGATCTACTCCTTCAACGGCAAAGATGTTCTCCGAGACGAAACATGGTGAGGAAAATGTTGAAGCAAACCTAACAGACCATGTCTAAAAGTAAACTGTCACCACAACTGATTTGCTTCCAATTCGCAGGCCCGAGAAGATGATGTGGCATGGGTCGACCAGCGAGGGTCAGCGACATGTCAACAATTATTGCGAGGCTTGGCGAGTTGGGCAACGGGCAGTGACAGGCATGGCCTCATCTCTGCAGAGCCGTAGCTTGTTGCAGCAGAGTGCCAGCAGTTGTTCTAGCTCCTTCATTGTGCTGTGTGTTGAGAACAGCTACATCCATGACAGCAGGCGACGATAATCGCCAAAAGAGCAAGCAAATATTCTTAACACACTTTCATCTGTCTTTGCACCAGTTGTGTTGCTTTGTATATATGATTTTATAATGAATCATCATTTTATGTTTGTTTAACCTGGATTTATGGTGCTAGAGAGTCATCCCACATATCAATGTTGAACTTAGATGACCTATTATAGCTGATCTTTTAGCAGCTTGAGGTATTGTTTGTTCGTGTATCATCAGCGAGAAGCAGCTGGTTTTTTGTTTTCTCCAGCTCAGGTTGAACAAAGACTGGTTTAACTGACAACCAAATCACCTGTCAGATCCCTTGTCAAACTTTGGAGGTATATAATGCTTTATTACTTCCCCTTAGGTTGAGTTTCCAACTGCCATCCCTCTATAAGATTATGGCAGAAAAGGAAATAATTTGGCTTTCTTGCTGATACTTTACCCAAAGACCATAGCAACACAGATTCCATCCATCCATTGACTTCATCCTTTCCAAAATTAGGTTGCATGCCTAACAGGTGCAAGATGGAAGACAATACATTCCTGTTCCAAGTGACTCCTCAGAACTGATTTTGAGGGATCTCAGGAAACTCCCTGCCTGGAGGGGAAAAACAGCCCCTGAAGTGGGTTCTTAGTCTGCCATAAGCTACACTGTATTGCCAAATATATTTGCTCACCAGCCATGACTGACATATGAACTTACAGTAACACCTTTCCATGCTTAATCCTTAAGGTTCAATTTCCTGCCTATTCATCATCTGCAGCTATAACAACCTAAACTCTTCTTGGGATGTTGCCTATAAGGCTTCAGGGTTTTTTTATAGGAATGTTTTGTTTTTTTAAAAAAAAAAAGCATGTTATGAAGGGATAGACCTATTTTGGGGTTTACTCTAATTCAACCCAAAGGTTTTCTGTCTGGCTGAGTTTGGGAAAATGTGCCACCACTGCTCTAAAGCCTACAGATTCCCTCGCCACAGCATCCACTGCGTTCCATGGGCTTGATGATGTATGGCTTTGTTGCAACCTCTCAGCCATGGAAACTCTATGAAGCTCTCTATGCACCATTCCTTTGCTAATTTACTGACCTAATGAACAATTGGAGATCTTTGAAAGCTGAAAGTTGACCACCTCCGTGTGCAGATGTGGTTATGTTGGCACAGTCCTTGCTCTGTCAGTTGATTTGGCCTACCATTTCATGGCTGTGCTGCCATAGTTCTTAATTGCATCTGCTTTGTTATAATAGTGTTTAGTTGATAGTGGGATATTCAGGAGCACTGTACTTGTTGCACAAGTAGTACCCTATCACGTCGAGTTCACTGATCAATTGTTTCACAAACGTTTATTGAAAGAGTCTACATGCCTAGGTGCTTAATGTACCCCAACTGAATCAGTTCAATATGGAGGAGCAGTGGCTTTATTCCTTGATTCCTTAGATGTTTAATCTAATGATCTTATTTCTGAGACTGAACTCAGCCACCCTCATCCTGCCAAATTCACACTGAAATGCATGCCAAGGGTAATTGCTAGAAGGTTTAACAGAATCACATTGTCTAGAATGACCAAAGATGAGTCCTTGAAGTTCCCAAACCGGCCCCTTCCCTCTCTGCCGCATCGCCTTGAGCTCTTGTCCATGACACCATGAACAAAATCAGAGACAATGGGGTCGTCCGGGTGGATACCAATTGCTCTGGAAAGGATAAGGATTGGATTTCTCTTGACACCATCCTTGGAGATCAAGGTTGTATGCCTTCTTCACATCCAGACAATCCATTTGGACTTGACTTCTTTCCAACACCCTTATGAAGTTTTTTCAACAGAGCCTCAGAGCTTGAAACCGTGAACCACTGCCCCATCATTTTGTGACAAAATGGTCCTAATTGAGTTCGCAATAGAGCTAAATTTAGCTCAAAGTCTAAGGGTGCGCCTTTTCCCTCTAAGCTTTTGTCTCCTCTGCTTTGGCTGCAACCTGGGCCCCCTCTCCAATCAAGGGTCTAGGACAACCCGTTTTTTCCCCAGTTAGTGGTGTCTGTGGTTCAAAGACCTGAAAACTGTAATCTTTTCCACCACGATGACTGTCAGCCATAGTCACATTTACACTACCCTGACAACCGATCCATGCCAAGCCTGGATCAGTTAACCGTGCCGAGATCGCTTTCTTATGACCATTTACAAACTACTCTTACATGGTTCCTCTCTTCTTAGTAGTGATCTATGGTACCACTGCTCTGTAGAGGTAAACAAGCAAACCAACATGGCAGCTCCCATAAAATTCAGGAAGTTGGTGGAGAGTCAGGTGAAGAAAGCAGCCTTTGGTGAATTTACTTGACAAAGTTGGATTTGGGAAGTGGATACGGCAAACAATAGTCTAATCAAGGCTTACAGACTCAGGATCGGGTTCATCACACTGCCAAACAGATTTATCACTGGAAGTCATGTGGCAAGGTAGGGAAGCTATTTGTTTTTTGAATGTCTGAAGTCTCATGATTACGAAGGCTGACTGTAAGGATGAACTAGTACTATGTTATCACGGTTTGGTTGTGTCTGGCGGGGTCTGGTTTGGGTCTGGTTGTGCATGCCATTCACACTCAACAGTTATCTCGGTTACCGTGGTTAGACCGATCTTGGCACGGCTTCAAAAGGGTAGTGGAAATTAGGTTAGAGCGATCCTTCGCCATACATAAAGAATGTAACCTAAACTTGGCTTTTTGTCCAGCTTTGTTTTCCTAGTTGTGGTTGGTTTAAACTTTAATTACCAATTTTCAGATGAGTGAACCAAAAATATCAGATGCAATGAAAACAATTTTTCTCTGTGAAATGTATTGTGAATGTCTGTCACCTCCTTACCTCCTTAAACTGACTGTAGCCCCATGGCACATGTGTTACTGTATAACCATTTATCACTTTTTAACATGACGGGAGATATTTTCAGATTGTATTTCTTAGCAATAACAAAAAGATATTTATTTGTTTTTTATCAAAAGGCTTTTTTTTACGACTGTAACACGCGGTGCGAGTGCTTTTCACCTATGCGAATAAAATGTATTAAATCCATACACGACAAGGAGTCAGCCATTGACCTGCTGTGCACTGTTGGTTATCCTAACTTCAGCTGGAAAATGTTTTCTGTGACATTTCTGGCTGAATAAAAGCTGTGTGGGAAAAAAATTGATGCTTGGTGTCTTCAATAAATTTGAATGATATACCAAGGTAGCAGCATTGACATATTTTCTATAGACTCACTTAATTAGGTACACCATGCTAGTACCGGATTTGGTACTTGCCTTCCGAACTGTCTTAATCTTTCATTGTACAGTGCAAAAAATATAAATCTAACTAAGTCATTTTTTCTTAAAATAAATACTTTTGTTCTTGAATTGAGGGGGAAAGAGAGATACTTTGCCAATGTAACAAGACAATTTACATTTAAAAAAAAAGAAAAAGCCATTGCTTTGTCTCAAGTCTTGAAGTGTCTTCAAGTACATATTATCTATTTAATTTTAAGATTAAAATACTCATTCTATTGGCAAATCATCTTATTTACCTGCTCAAATTAAGGGTAAATACACTTGATTTAAGACGTTTTTACTCATTTCAAGATCATTTTTGCAGTGTATAGAATCAACAAGGTACTGGAAACATTCCTCAGAGTTCTTCCCCATTGCTGAGTTTCAAGTCAGCAGCTGCATCCTCGGAAGGCCCGTTTCGTCAGCCGATTACGTCATAGCGTGGCGCTGCGGCCTGTTCAGCCTTCTTTTTTCCCGTTTTGAAGGACGGATCCAGTGTACCCTACTTAGCCTTAGGTATCCCATGATTCATTGCGAGTCCAAGCATGTCGGCTGCTCCGTGCTCAGAGGAGAAAGGTAAAGGGCACCATACAGCTGTGAATATTGTAATTCCGTCCATCCATCCATTTTCTGTCATTTTTATCCCGGCTGGGGTTGCTAGGGGTGCTGGTGCCTATCTCCAGCTGTCTACAGGCGAGAGGCGGAGTACACCCTGGACAGGTCGCTAGTGAATAATGTAAGTGCAGTTTAATATAATACAAGTATGTGAATAGTTCAGTCTGGATTTAATGAAAATTGTTTTTTTAAACGGTTATTGAGTCAGATATGTTGTGTGTAATGTTTGTTTTATTGAAAGGTTTTATCGGTCCCTGCAAATGACTGAAATTTAAGCACAGATTCAAATATCTCTGCAGTGTGGGGACTAGAAATTAACCTGACTCCGCCAGATGGATTTGCTCTGCATATCGATCTGGAAACCTTCCGTTGAAGTAATTTTGGGAAGGGGCGAAAATACTGGTTAGCTGATTGGCCTATGTTGGTGATAGATGGGCCAAATAAACCAATCAGATCAACGAAGCATATGACGTACTAACAGAGCGACGACGAAGAGGAGCCAATTGATAGATCAAACTCTTGCCAAAACCAGTGGGGAGAAGAGCAAAAACATCTTTTCCTCTGAGAAAAGCCTCCAGAGCAGTGTTTTGCTATTCTTTCAGAGAAGAAATACTCTGTAATTCCGATCAAACTTGCTCGATAGCCACGCTAACGCTAGTTTCATCGGCTGAAGCCGCCATGTTCTTTAGACTGAACCGTCGCGCTTCTCGTTGCGTCACACCTCAACCCGCCTCAAAGCCAACGCTGATTGGACGTTCGTTTGGTGAACGGCTCCAAATTTTCCTTAACGGAGAGTCTCCAGACTGATTAGCGAGTCAAATCTTGAAAGCTTGCGAGATCAGGATGGTCTCACAAGGCTAACTAGAAATCTGATATTCACGACAACGGTACTGCCGCTGAAGCTCCTCGAAAATGTTAGAACCCAGAACAGTAGTGAGAAGTTTGGTATCCATTCTTTGCCTGCTTTGTGTAGCAACTGTCAAAGTTGCTAGGCGACAGAGCGTACGGGCGGTGAAAGCCGGAGGAGGCTGGACCTGTTTGAATCCATTGCCAAAACTCCTCTGGCCTCCTTATTTTCATTGACTTCCAAGGACCCAATCTACCTGGACCAGGTCCTTGGAGGACTGTAGAAGCTTATCTGTAATGCAGCAAAAAAAAAAATCCAGAAAAGGTTTTATAAAATTTATTGAGTGAATCATATAAAAAGATTTGATTTGACGATTTGTTGATGGAAAATGTGTCTTAAAGTGCAACAGTGATTCATAAAATTGGAAAAACAATCAAAAATAATTACAGTGCAAAAGAAAATCATTAAGATTACATAATAGTTAATATGCATAAAATAATATAAGCAAAAATAAGAGATCACAGTGCTTAAAGCTGTTTGGATTGTAATAGCATCCATGTAGAGGTCCTAATGTTCCTAGTTAACCCAGAAGATCCAGTTCAGGGCTTAACACTGGTGGTAACTGGGTAACAGAAGGAGTCCTGATTGCAGATTCCAGCAGTTTGAAGTTCAGGCTGATCACAATCGAACAGAACCGACTGACGCTAACGAAGTCGCAGCACACAATGTTTACTCCGCCCCCTCCTGGGCCTGGACATTGTTTTGCCGTCCAGTGGAGCAGCGGTGAGAGACCCTTGGTCGTCATCTTCCTCAGGTTTTCGAGGGGATGGAGGAGGACGTAGAGAATGTCTTCAGTCAGGTTCAGACCACTGACATAAAAACCATCTGGAAAAAGAAAATATGGTTTACACTGGTGCTTTTTACATTATATTTAAAAAGCTTAATGGTGCCTAAAAAAAAAAAAAAAGATTTCATGGCGTCTAAAAAATGTTTGCAACAACTAATCCTCCCGTTTCTTCAAACTGGGATAACGCTAAAGCTGCATACTTCAGGTAAGATACTGACTACTGATTAGCATCAAAAACTAAATTAAAATAAGTAAAAGTGGTAAAAAAATTAAAAGTTTCGATGTGATTTAGTCTCCTCTGAAGTTTTAGGCTGTACTACCTGGCCTTCCATGGCGTTGCTGCTCCTCCAGATAAGATATGACTTTGTTTGGATCTGGGCTGTCAGCGTACCTGCAAAAACAGCGCCCCCATGAGACCAGTCAGTCACAATGTTTAATCTGTGTGTTTCAAGCCTCAATTCTAATATCATAAGTTTGATTTTTTTATGTGTATTGCTACATGTAAAACACTGTTCCAATAAAAAAAATTGATTTATTGAATGATTTTTAACCAGGTTATGAAAATATTTTAAATTTAAAAATCCCCTGAAAGTTTTCAGCCAACATTTTTAAAATATCCAACCTGCTGCATCCCAAGGATTTAGGAAGGAAAGGAGCAGCTAGATGCTGGTAGAGTGATTTTATCTCCATGCCAAGGAGGAAAGACATCAGCGAGAGTCTTTATGGAACCTGATTGTATTAATAATAGGAAAACAGCATTAGAATAATAGAAAAAGATTCATATAGGGACAGTTTCAAGTCTGCCTTGAAACCAAAGTGGTAAGAAACAATCACAAGTACTGGGGAAGCACAGTTGGAAATATAAAATGTCCCTTTAAGGGAGAGTAGAAAGTTACAGCAATGCCAAGTTGCAAAAACTGAACGGCAGAAAGCACCAAATCAAACTCTGCACACCTCTGCAAGTGGAATGTTTAAAGAAAGTCGAAGCAGAAACCAAAACTTCAAACATTTGTGGAGTAAATCAGCAACCAGAACAAACAAAGCTTAGCTGTCATGCAAACAGATGGAGGGAAGCGATATGAGCTTGTTTTGCAGCTACAGGACAGAGAACATTGTAGTCGCTAAGTCAACCATGAATTCCTCCTTTTACCAAAGTATTTTAGTTAGATAGTTGTTTTACTTCCTCTTCCTGCTCTGGAGATTAGTGTTTAAGTAAAACCTATTTTCAGGATTTCTTCTCAGTGAAGTATTGATTCTCTTTAGACCAGGTTTCCAGCTTGGTTTCATCATTGTTTAACAAACGATATGCGTCAGTTTGTCCTGATTTCTTTATTATTTTTTTTTAAACTGGTTATGGACAACTAAGAGATCTGGTGGTAGGGGTGTAAATAATAATTGGATGCATCGATCCAACAGCCGACGATCCGATGCATCGATACGTCTGCAAGAGAATCGATTCATGTTTTTTTTTCTCCTCCGGTCTATTTTTATCCATTTGCTCCTGGACGTAATTCTCCCTCCCGTGCTGCGGTGGCGCAAAACCTATTTTGCCCTCTTACCTCGCTTCCTGGTTATACTCTTACAGCAGTTTGTTGCAGTGAGCTTGACACAGACAGTTATGATTTATGCTCAATATTGAAGTGTGGTCTGTGCTACACGCTGTGGGTCTAGATACGGCCGAGGCGGCGAGGAAGTAGGTGCGAGTTTAGTCGGACGACGGAGGGACATGAGGGCCAAAAAGAGCGGAGATCCAGGTGGAAAAAGGGTCCCAGCGTTTTCGCGCACCTCACTCTTCTAGCGGGTCAAACTTCACAAGTTGTTTTCCGCAATTTCAGTCATAAAAAGAAAACAAGCCGACCTCCTGTCTGCAGCACTGTTTGCGGTCAGCTGCAATTTGGGAGCGTCTGTGGAGGGGGCGGGGACGTCTGGAGCCGAGGTATTGAATTGCACTCATTGCACTGATTTTTGCAGTATTTTTTGATGCAACTTTTCTAATTCTGTTATTTGCTGTTGTTTCTAAAAAAAAAAAAATGCATAACTATATTACAGCTTTCTTGAAACTTTGTTTAGCCTGTAAGGTGTAAAAAAAATAAATAAATAATCGATTAATCGAATCGAATCATGGTGTATTCTTGAGTATCAAAAATAATCGAATCGTTGGGTCAGGAAATCGATACTGAATCGAATCGCCATGATGGATTTTATTTACACCCCTATCTGGAAGCAACAAGCTGTTAAATCCTGTGGCATTTTTCTCACATGTTGGCGTTATCTTTGTTTAATGAATAAAGGAAGTGCTTAATATTAGTTTTTCAGGTTAGATTCAGATATTATTCAGACATGCATTAAGACTAAGATCAATCTAAGGTAGAACCAGGATTTGCTTTAATTTTTTTAATCACATCACTGCTAGATGCATGCTATGAATTCACCAGTAAGGTATCGTTGGCCACAGCACAGGGTACTTCCGCTCCATCTGCTGGTTATCATAGGAGACGATCAACTGCTGACCTCTAGACCAACAGGAACGCAACGTAGGAATATCCTGCAAAGACGATTTATTTACATGGATGTATCGAGTCACAGGCCATGACTGTTAAACAGTTTATTCAAGCATTTTAACCTGTGGGAGGCAGAGTTTCCTGCCAAAGAGAGAGATGATGAACTCCACCAGCTGGACGTGATCCTCATCGGTCAGAGACTCAAAGTGTGAGCAGGAGATGATGATGATCTCTTTGGGGTGAGCATCCAGCCACAACGCCAGTTCCTCCAGAGCCTCCTGCAGATGAAAATATAACGATTTGGGCACAGGCGTAACTTTCTGAAGGACTGGTGTGGACATGTCCCCATCAATGATTTCCACTTTTTTCCCCCCTTTCTGCTCATTTACTTTAGCCAAAGGTAACAGATTGGGTGCAGCTTTCTGTGTTCAGAGCGTTTTGAGTCCGTGTTTTTATTTTTCCTCTCTCCGTCTGCTCCAGTGTCCCGCCTCTCGGTGTGACATCATCAGATCTTTTGCTTTGAGACGTCTGATTTGCGGTCGCATTTCACTGCATACAAAGTCGCTACGTGGAGGAGGAGAGACACACAGCAGCACTCAGTGAATATTAACCAGCAGCTACTTTGATGTTTAAGTAAAATTTAGGAGACGGGTTGGTCAAAAAAATTAGAAAAATCTTCCTTAGACATAGGGAGCTTTTTCAGCTTAAAATGGCAACAAACTTTAACTTTACTAGTTTAAAAAATCTTGGCTTCTCAGAGGACCATGACTCCCAGCTAAAGGTTAAAATGTTTTTGTATTGTACAGATAGAATCAGACTGCAGAGCTTCTACATATCTTGAAATTTTGTTTCTGGCATCATTATATTAGTGAAGAGGTTCATAAATCTTTTTAAACAGAGCACAGAAATAGGGAGAGCTGCAGATTTAAAGGTGAAACAGATTTACTCAGATATGCAACATACAATACAACACATCTCCAAGTTTACCAGAAAGTTTACAAGAAAAAAATATGCTATGCTATATTTAAAATGAAGCATATCTATATTTTTCTGGATGGAATTGAAACTGTAATCTGCATCGGACTCGGCTGTTATTGCTTATTTTTTTATACAATAATGTTTTGGGCCTGATATATATAAAATGCACTAAAATGGATCTCTCTAACATCTATAAATATAAATATTAGTGTATTATGGTTCTCTTGTGTTCTCAACAATAGGAAAGCATTCAGTAAATATATGTTAGAGCTCATTTTTAGAAAATATAAAAACCTAATGAAAGTTTTCGGGTCTAGTAACTGTAGGTCCATCAGTCTCCACCCTTAGAGTGTCCCCACCAACTTTCATCACAAAGGCTCTGTTCGAATTCATGGGCTGTGTCCTCCAAGGCCAGATTCTAAGGCCAATTACGTCATAGCGCGGCGCCGAGGTCTGGTCAGATTCCAAGATTCCTCGTTATGCGGCCTTAAAATGCGTCCTTCTTTTTGCCCGATTTGAAGGACGGGTCCGATGTACCCTCTCTATCCTTGGTTTTCCCAGGATTCATTGCAGTTCCAAACAAGCCGGCTGCTCTGTGATCAGAGGAAAAAGGTACTTGGCGCCGAACAGTGGTAAATATTGGAAGTTCAGTTTAATATAATCCAAGTAGGTGAAAAATTCCATCTGATATTAATAAAAATAGTTGTTTTAATAGCTGTGGAGTCAGATATGTGGCGTGTAATGTTTGATTTATCTAAAGGTTTTTATCTGTTACTGTGTAAATGGGTTTGGCTGTAATTTAAGGACAGATTCTAAGGTCTTTTTAATTGCTAATCTGCACAATTTGCTTACCGTAACTAAGTATTTGTTTGTTGTTGAATATAAGAGATATATTTTTATACATACATTGTTTAGATTTACTTATATCTTCCTTCCCCTTTTATAGAATAGAATAGAAAATCCCTTTATTGTCCCACAATGGGGAAATTCTGGTGTTTACAGCAGCAAAACAAACAAAAAAAAATGGTCACACAAATATGGAACTATAACATAATAGGGAAGAGTTAAAAGATAAACAAAATCCTGCACTGTAAAGTGTGTTAACAATATAAAACTGTGCACCTGGAAAATAAATAACCAATATGCAGCTGTGGACATTTTTATAGTAATGGATATTTGAAAATAGCAGCAACATCAGAGATGTGCAAAATGACAGCAGCAGGTTATTTAACTGACTAAAAGGTTTCTATCATTACATTTGATTTTATTTGTTCATGCTCCCGGTGGTTGGAACCTTTATTCCACTCTGGATTCTATTTGTTCACTTTACAATTAAAAAAATAAATAAATAACAAACAGCTTTGAAAAGTTAATATTTATTCTTTTCCTGCTTTGTGTGTCAGCTGTCACGGTTGCTAGGCGACAGAGTAGGGCGGTAAAAGCCTTAGAAGGCTGGACCTGTTGGAATTCACAGCCAAACTCTTCCGGTCTCCTTATTATCAAGGACTTGAAAGGATCCGATCGCGTCCTTGGAGGACGCAGCCCAGGAATTCGAACACAGCCAAAGTTCCACCCTTGGGTTTGGGCTCAGTTTCCTAAGCTTTACTCACCGTGACGGTCACCAGGGTGTAGATTCCATGAGCGAAGAACAACGTGCTGCCCCCTGCTGGCTTCTTGGCGATCCGCAGGTCCAAAAAGCGAACACCGAGCTCACATTGATACCAGAGGACAGATTGCTGCATCAAACACATGTTGTCCAAACGGATCATTTAATTAAACAAAGACCCTTAAACCATGGAGTAATGTTAATGTTTTACGTATTTTAAACATTTGTTTATTTCTTAGGGAGATAAATCCTCTGCATTTTAATAATGATCGTGTACCTGGGTGGTGGACCAGCGGTAAACGCAGGGCCGGATCCAGCAGGGCAGGAGTCGGTCGGTCAGTCTGAGGAGGAAGGGCTCCGATCCGAGCACCGGGGAGGATAGATCCAGACAGAAGGACATGCTGTCATGGCTTCCTGTTACAGTTAGATGCTTAATATTAACATCAAAATAACTTCTGGATGTTTTATTTAAGGAGATGATGTTACCGGGAATGGCCAGGTTCCACAGCGGGACGTCCAGCAGCTCCTCCGGGAGACGAGACATCCAGTTCGAGTCTCCTCCTCTACCGCCATCCTCCCACTGATTGTCCCCCATCTCTATCTGTCAGCTACATTCCTCTAAATTCATCAAAATAAGCGCATTAATAATGTTAACACCTGTTTAGAATACGAAACCCGTTTGTTTACATACAACTTCCCCACCTCTTCTTCTTCTTGTTTTTCTTCTTCTTCTTCTTCTTATGGGGTTTTATGGCGGTTGGCAGACTTGTGAATTGTGCATTACCGCCACCAACTGATATGGAGTAAAGCAAGAAAACAGAAAACGATTCACCCCCCCCCCCCCCCCCCCAAAAAAAAAAAAAAAAAAAAAAAAAAAAAAAAAAAAAAAAAACCTGTGTAACTTAAACCAACATAATACTAAATCACATTTGCCCATATAATTTTTAATTTACTCTAGGTCATCTTAACTCTGCCAGTTTCTGATGGTCCCATCGGTCCTCCCATCATACTTCCAACCATCTCCCAGTTCAAATCTTTAATGTCCAGATATTTTTCTGCAGCCTTCACTATTATTTTGATTTTTTCCGTTTTTTTTGTTGTCTGTGCAGTACAATTAATTACTTCTACCATGAAAAGAACAAAATTTGTCTTTTTAACAATAAGTGAGTCTTCATCAATTTTTTGATTCTCTAGAGGTTTGGAATTTGCCGTGTGTTGAACTGTAGGTTTGGGTTTTTCTGACTGAGATGGGATCCTTTTTGCAGCTTCAGCGTAGGTTATTCCGAGCTCAAATTTCATTTTTTTAATTTCCTCAGACCTTTTGCTTGCTTCACAGCCGCGATAAGCAGCAGTATGTTCTCCACCACAATTACAGCATTTTATTATAGCTTCTTTTCCACATTTACCATATTCGTGTTCTCCTGCACACCTTCCACACCTCTGTTTCCCTTTACAAACTGCTGCAATGTGACCGAATTTTTGGCATTTGAAACATCTCAATGGTGGAGGATTGTAGATTTTGACATTATAGCTTATGTAACCGATGAATACTTTGCTTGGTAATTGCTCTTCCTCAAATTTAATTAGCACTGATAAACTGTCAGATCTTTCTCCGTTTCTTGTTGTTTTTAACCGTTTTACTTCTTTTACTTTTGCACCGCTTATGTTTTCCAGAATCTCTTTTTCAGAAATTTTTAGAGGAACTCCTCCAATGACTCCCCTGCTGATCTTTTTGTTCTCCATTAGGCTGCACTGAACTCTTATCCCGTCAATTTTGTTGATACGTATTGCTTTGCCTTGCTGGGCGCTGTCTCTGCAGTTAATTAGCAGGTCTCCACTGTACAGAATTCTGGCACCTCTGACTTCTCCGACAAGTTTATTGATGGTTTTTGTTAAGTGAACCGGATTCCAATTTGTAAAAGAGTCTGCCTGATTAACGACTTTGAATATGACTTTGAATTCATTTTGTTGTGCTGTGGAATGTATGGAATGATCATCACTGGATTGTTCTGAACTAGATTCCCCTTGAACTGATCTCTGTTTTTTCCGCTTTTTCTCATTTTTTGATGTTGCTATCTTCCACCCTTCATTGTCACTATTTCCCTCTTCCATCCCACAAGAATCGCTTCCTGTTTCCTCACTACTCACGGCCCAAGACATTTCTCCATAAGCAGCTTCAAAACACGCGCCATGCACCAAACGACCATCCACATCCGACCGACTCCCCTTTCCCCGGCCCCTCTTCTTGTTTTTTCCTTCTTCTTCTTTTTTTATGTCGGTTGGCAAGCAACTTATTCATGCGCATTTACCGCCATCTACTGGAATGTAGTGTGGATCGGATGCTGTATATAAATTCTCCCACAAAAAATATGATAATTTAGTTAATGAATCTTATATTCTTTCTATCAATTTCTTTTTTTTAAAGGCAATTCTTTGAATAAATTAATAAAAAAAATGTAAAAGTTTTTTACTGGCGTTTGGCAACCAGCTTAAGGTGCATTTACCATCACCTACCAGCCTGGAGTGTGATCATCAATGACGTCAGAGGGAAGTTATTAATACATACCTCAACGGTATGCACGAATCTGCATATTATCTATCAATATATACCCATACAAATTCACATATAAATTAGTATGTGTGCAAATGCACATGCATACACACACTTATATTCTTACTTTCAATACAATTAAATAATCCAGTGTTTTTAAAAAATATATATAATTAACTGATTTCTTGCATAATTAGATTTACTTTCTAAAAGGTTTATCGTTGAAAATCCTATTTTTTCTCTATGTAATGCTGACTTTAATTACTATTCCTCCTGTTCTTCTAGTTTAACGGCTTAACGGTAAATTACCGCCACCAAGTGGTGAGAAGTGTGAACTGAATGTCGCTCAAAACAAAACAACAGCAAAAACTAATGAAGAGATCCTACCAAAACTAATTACTCCATCTTAGCAAATAGAATATAGCATGGTAGCCCTTTCTTATTGCATATTTCAGAAATAAATCAATACGGTCTAGTTTTGGATCAATTTCTTCCATCATGATAATGCTTGTTTTGCTCTACTGTCTCATTTTCTCCAGTTACAATTTTACTGCTGAGGTTTGTTTATTATGAACCACTCAGCAATAAGACTAAGGCAACTTTTATATACAAAATTTTGTTTTGTAAATCTTTTATGACATTTCCAGAAAGTGCAGCAGTGATCAAATGTCAACAGTGTGGGAGAAAAAAAATGTTGTAAAAAAAGCATTGATATGGAATATGCTGATGAAGGTTCCCAGTAATCCAGGTCATAGTCATTCCGTAAAAATTCAAAAAAATATCCATATCTTCAAATCTTGGAAACCAAGTCCAGTGGATATTTTTTTGAATTTTTACGGAATGGCATTGATATGGAAGTTCAAAGCATTAAATATATATGGGGAAAATATGCAGAATTTTGGTTTGGTGTTATCAGTGTGATGCAGAGTCTGTGACATTATTTAGAGTTTTCTCAACAGTTCAGCTGTCTGATGTTGGTGGGGAAGAAACTGTTTTGGAATCTGCTGGACCTTCATCGGAGGCTTCAAAGCTTCTTCCCAGAGGGCAGCAGGGAGAACAGTCCATGGTGGGGGTGTGAGGGGTCATTGATAATGATGCTCAGTGCTGGGATGGAATGTCTTTTATGGAGGGATAATGATCTTCTCACCTTCTTCCAGTCTAAGATGTTGCAGCCTCCACACCACACAGTGAGACAGCTGGTCAGAACGCTCTCTATGGTGCTTCTGTAGAAGGTGGTGAGGATGGGTGGGGGCAGGAGGGCTCTCCTCATCCTCCACAGGAAGTACATTTGCTTTTGTGCCCTTTTGACCAGTGAGGTGGTGTTTAAAGTCCAGGTGAGGGTGTCTGTGATGTTCACCTCCAGGAATTTGGTGCTGCTGACCACCTCTAAAGGGGTTGATGAGCAGTGGAGCTTGGTTAGGCCGATTCTTCCTAAAGTCCAAGATGATCTCCTTCGTCTTCTCCACATTCGGAATCAGGTTGTTATCTCTGCCTGATCCTGAATAATTCCACTCTAATATGTATGCATACAATTTCCTTGATTCATTTGTAGACATTTGTTGCACACAGACTATTTGCTTTGGCAGATAATCAAATTTCTCTGATAATTTTATTGGTTTCTAAACTTTTCTTTGTGTGCTCCCCTTTAATTGGAAAGACAATTTTAGCGCCCCACTTAACTGCCCCAGGTTTTTGAAAGTTGTAGTAAATATATTGTAATTAAATATAGTAATAAATAAAAAAAATAAAAACTTAAATCTCTAACAAGTACCAAATCTACCACTTTTGGAGTCTAATTACTTGAACAGAAAGCAACATTGCTCTCACTTAATGAAAAAACTCCCAATTGGTCATTTATTCAGATTATTTTCACCTGAGACCCCCCCTGAGGGCGTTCCCCAAACTTTGGGAACCACTGTATTAATTAAACATGAACTGACTGTTACTTTTTCAAAACTATCTGATCAGTTAAATTAATGATGAGGTTTCAGCTGATGTCTGACGTCATAGGGTTTGATCCTTTGACCTGGGAGAGCCTCCAAGATTTTATTAACAGTTGTAGATCTAATCTAATTAAAGAGTCTTTTCTGTAAATCTATTTTAGATGCGTAGCTGTGTGAAATGAACCGTGCAGAAACCTTAACTGTAACCACTTCTTTTTATCCTTGTGACTTTTTGAAAATGTAATAATGCTTGAGGTAAAGTTCAGGGATTTGATTCTAACCGTTAAAGTGGGAGTCCTGGGCTCCAACAAATGTTTGGGACTAATAAGGAAGCACATGATCCCTGTTTCTCCTGGATGTGATTATCTTATTAAGTGCAAGTTCATGTTCAAAGATTCCTTATTATCGCCAAGGAAAATTAATTTTCTGCAGCACGGCATACCTAGCATGTCACAGAATAACAAGAACAATGTTGAAACTAACTATAAATGCTAGTTTAAAATAGTGACAGGTAAAAATTGATGAAATTGGTTTAAGGAGGTATAACTAGTCCTTTTTAAAATGTTTAATTTTCAGAATTATTAAATGAACCGAAATCATTTTCTTCACAACAGTGCAAACACCCTGCAGCTGTTTCCTTTTAAGGAGAGCAACTCAAACCAACAGACAAAAAAAAAGGTTAAAAAACAGATTAAATGAAACAAAAATTAGACTTAGAAACATTAAAATGTATAAATTTTTAATGTTGATATTACTCCTTATTACATAAAGAGTTTGTTTTTTCTTCTGCAAGATTTATAAAATTAATTCATTTGTTTAAATTCCAAATATAGGTGCTCAATCTACATTTTATTTCTACTTTTTTCTTTTTTTTTTCATTTATTTTTTGAAAAACAAAATAGCTGAAGCATGTAATTTACTCTTTGCATGTCGTGGTAATAAAAAAAGTTTCTTTTTAGTTATCTGTTTTTGCAAATTAATTCTTCATTTCTTCTTACTTTCCTTTTAAAGTTTGTATTTATATAGTCTTTGGGTGATTATTTTGACAGCTAACAGAAAAAAATGTTAACCCAGTTTCTTACAACAAAATCAGAAATAGATCAAATCTAAAAAAAAAAAAGGTTTAAAATGACAAAAGATTAAAAAAAAACTTTATAGACCAGAAATGAGAAATTACATGAGTGTAAATGAGACTTCACTCA